AGCTTTACACTGGCCATATATGAACTCTCCACCCTGGTATTCACCATTACTTTGTTGCTATTGACACATTACTCTTGTCTTGGTCACCTGTTATTTGGTAACGGGTTGTGTATCACTGCTGTCACCAACCTAGGTCCCGCTGCGTCTAGTATGCAAAAATTTCACTCTCCTCTTCTCTGGTTTATTATTACTATTGATGCTTCTCCACTATTCTTCCTGTCTTTCCTCGGAATTTGATGTCCTAATGGGAAGATCCCATGTGTTATAATCTCCGTTCATTTTGTTTCTGTAAGTGCTATGACTGTGTGTGTGTGTGTGTGTGTGTGTGTGTGTGTGTGTGTGTGTGTGTGTGTGTGTGTGTGTGTGTGTGTGTGTGTGTGTGTGTGTAGGTGTAAGTTTCATATGATAGTCTCGTATGTAATCATGTCTGATGCAGCAACATGTGAGTAATATTCGTTCTTCCTCTCTCTCTCTCTCTCTTCTTTAATCTCTTTAACTAAGTGAGGCTTTTAAGGTTATTGCTCTTAGTGGTCATTTGGGAGAAGTTCTCATATATTTTTGTAGCTGTGTATGTCAGAGTTCACTAGTAGTTGTCGGAACAGTACCATCACTAATACCAACACCGCTACTAATACCATCACTTCCACCTGCACCACCACTAATAACATCACCACCACCATTAATACCATCACTACCACCAACACCACCATTAATACCATCACTACCACCAACACCACCATTAATACCATCACTTCCACCTGCACCACCACTAATAACATCACCACCACCAACACCACCATTAATACCATCACTACCACCAACACCACCATTAATATCATCACTACCACCAACACCACCATTAATACCATCACTACCACCAACACCACCATTAATATCATCACTACCACCAACACCACCATTAATACCATCACTACCACCAACACCACCATTAATACCATCACTACCACCAACACCACCATTAATACCATCACTACCACCAACACCACCATTAATATCATCACTACCACCAACACCACCATTAATACCATCACTACCACCAACACCACCATTAATATCATCACTACCACCAACACCACCATTAATACCATCACTACCACCAACACCACCATTAATACCATCACTTCCACCTGTACCACCACTAATACCATCACCACCCCCAACACCACCACTAATACCATCACCACCACCAACACCACCACTAATACCATCACTACCACCAACACCACCATTAATACCATCACTTCCACCTGTACCACCACTAATACCATCACCACCACCAACACCACCACTAATACCATCACCACCACCAACACCACCACTAATACCATCACTACTACCAACACCACCACTTATACCATCACTACCACCTACACCACCACTAATACCATCACCACTACCAACACCATCACTAATACCATCACTACCACCAGCACCACCACTAATACCATCACTACCACCAACACCACTACTAATACCATCACTACCGCCAACACCACCACTAAAACCATCACTACTACCAGCGCCACCACTAATACCATCACTACCACCAGGTCCACTATTAATACCATCACTACCACCAACACCACCACTAATACCATCACCACCACCAGCACCACCACTAATACCATCGCCACCACCAGCACCACCACTAGTAGCATTACTACCACCAGCTCCACCACTAATATCATCACTACCACCAGCACCACCACTAATACCATCACTACCACCAACTCCACCACTAATACCATCATTACTACCAACACCACACTAATACCATCACCATCACCACCACCAACACCACCAATATGATCACAACTACCAACACCACCAATACCATCAAAACTACCAGCACCACCACTAATACCATCATTACTACCAACACCACACTCATACCATCACCATCACCACCACCAACACCACCAATATGATCACAACTACCAACACCACCAATACCATCAAAACTACCAGCACCACCACTAATACCAACACTACCACCAACTCCACCACTAATACCATCACTACCACCAACAGCATCACTAATACCATCACTAGTAGCAACACAACCACTAATACCATCATTACCACCAACTCCACCACTAATACCATCACTACCACCAACACCACCATTAATACCATCACATCTACCATCACTACCACTAATACCATCACAACTACCAACACCACCACTAATACCATCACTACCACCAACAGCATCACTAATACCATCACTATCACCAACTCCACCACTAATACCATCACTACCACCAACAGCATCACTAATACCATCACTACCACCAACACCACCATTAATACCATCACATCTACCATCACTACCACTAATACCATCACAACTACCAACACCACCACTAATACCATCACTACCACCAACTCCACCACTAATACCATCACTACCACCAACAGCATCACTAATACCATCACTACTAGCAACACCACCACTAATACCATCATTACCACCAACACCACCACTAATACCATCACCACCACCAATACGATCAAAACTACCAACACCACCCATACCATCACAACTACAAACACTACCACTAATACCATCACAAGTACCAACATCACATAGGTCCAGCCAACATCTGGACGATGTTGGCACTGTTATACTGCAGTAACCTGTCACTTTAAATCCTCTGGTGACTGAATGGAGTAAACGCACGTGAAGTGTATTTTCACTCTTTAGTTGTTACATGAAGAAATAAACACGGAAAATGGATCGATATGTTATGAAAATATTACACTGGAATGGAAGCACATTGCCACGGTAAACACACACACACACACACACACACACACACACACACACACACACACACACACACACACACACACAAACACACACACATGATTACGCTGGTTATTCATAAGTTTCAACTAATTAATCACTAGTGTATAATGTATGGATGAACGGAGGAGAAATAAGAAGATGGAGTCGTGCATGTATCAGACGATATACATCAGATGTTAGATATACATCAGACAGATGTTGTTGACGATAAAGAATCCCTTGACGGTAAGGTAAGACACATGTTAGTCAAGTATCCACTACTAGTGTTGTCCTAACCTTCTCGGGGTGTTAATGACTGGTGTATATTAGTTAGGCTCACATACATTGTAATTAAACTTATTCTTGTGGCATTTATAAATCAATGTTTGTGTATCAGCGAGAGCATTACACTCCCATATTTTTGTTTGATCACAGACACTTGTGCAACACCTGAGAACCATTCTCTGAAGATGCTTAGCCAACCAGAGGTTTTATCAGCTCTATTAGAAGAGAGTGTTCGGTGTCCGAGGCACTGAACGCCAGTACTGCAATGTTATTTGATCTTAGTGTTACACAGTGTAGGTGTTCCATTCTTCAACACTGAGTGTGTACATCCTACAGTGGTACAATGCTAGAACTTCTTATTGTATATTTCACTTACCTAAGATATACATCACTCTCAGTTTTACTGGGCTAGCAGTCTGCTGAAGTTCTTTAATATATAGCGTGTTATTTGCTTATATTAGCCATGTAACATTATATATATATATATATATATATATATATATATATATATATATATATATATATATATATATTATATATATATATATATATATATATATAGTATGTAGGAAAGAGGGAAATTATTTCCCAGTAAAAGTAGGCCTTAGACAAGGATGTGTGATGTCACCGTGGTTGTTTAATATATTTATAGATGGGGTTGTAAGAGAAGTAAATGCGAGGGTCTTGGCAAGAGGCGTGGAGTTAAAAGATAAAGAATCACACACAAAGTGGGAGTTGTCACAGTTGTTCTTTGCTGATGACACTGTGCTCTTGGGAGATTCTGAAGAGAAGTTGCAGAGATTGGTGGATGAATTTGGTAGGGTATGCAAAAGAAGAAAATTAAAAGTGAATACAGGAAAGAGTAAGGTTATGAGGATAACAAAAAGATTAGGTGATGAAAGATTGGATATCAGATTGGAGGGAGAGAATATGGAGGAGGAGAATGTATTCAGATATTTGGGAGTGGACGTGTCAGCGGATGGGTCTATGAAAGATGAGGTGAATCATAGAATTGATGAGGGGAAAAGGGTGAGTGGTGCACTTAGGAGTCTGTGGAGACAAAGAACTTTGTCCTTGGAGGCAAAGAGGGGAATGTATGAGAGTATAGTTTTACCAACGCTCTTATATGGGTGTGAAGCATTGGTGATGAATGTTGCAGCGAGGAGAAGGCTGGAGGCAGTGGAGATGTCATGTCTGAGGGCAATGTGTGGTGTGAATATGATGCAGAGAATTCGTAGTTTGGAAGTTAGGAGGAGGTGCGGGATTACCAAAACTGTTGTCCAGAGGGCTGAGGAAGGGTTGTTGAGGTGGTTCGGACATGTAGAGAGAATGGAGCGAAACAGAATGACTTCAAGAGTGTATCAGTCTGTAGTGGAAGGAAGGCGGGGTACGGGTCGGCCTAGGAAAGGTTGGAGGGAGGGGGTAAAGGAGGTTTTGTGTGCGAGGGGCTTGGACTTCCAGCAGGCTTGCGTGAGCGTGTCTGATAGGAGTGAATGGAGACAAATGGTTTTTAATAATTGACGTGCTGTTGGAGTGTGAGCAAAGTAACATTTATGAAGGGGTTCAGGGAAACCGGCAGGCCGGACTTGAGTCCTGGAGATGGGAAGTACAGTGCCTGCACTCTGAAGGAGGGGTGTTAATGTTGCAGTTTAAAAACTGTAGTGTAAAGCACCCTTCTGGCAAGACAGTGATGGAGTGAATGATGGTGAAAGTTTTTCTTTTTAGGGCCATCCTGCCTTGGTGGGAATCGGCCAGTGTGATAATAATATATATATATATATACATACATACATACATATATTTTATATATATATATATATATATATATATATATATATATATATATATATATATATATATATATATATATATATAAATCAGTTGTTTGTTTAGTAGTACTCACCTCTTGCCGGTGGTGTGTGCTGATAACGTGCTCTGGGGGGAGGAACAGGTGGTGGTGTCCCAGGAGGCGCAGGAGGAGAGGAAGTTTGCGCAGATGCTGACGAAGACACCAACGAAGCAGCAGAAGGAAAAGCACCAGAAGTAGGAAGAGGAGGAGGGGAAGGAGAAGAAGAAGTGGCTGCGGTGATAGAAACTCCTACTGCTACAGGCTGAGGTGTAGCTGGCCAGGGGTTCTGGCCGTTTGCTGCTGACATAGATACGACTACCTTGGACGTGACAGAAGAGCTAGCCAGTGGCGCTACACACATACCGGGGGAAAACGTCTCTGTCGGAGGCGTCGACGTGGCAGAAGAAGCAGAAGCAGGAGGAGAAGGAGGAGGTGGAGGGCCTTCGCTGCTAGTGGCTGTGTTGACGAAGTTGACACGGTTGGTGGATGCCAGTGTCCCCCCTGAGCAAGACCTCGATAGGGGACTGCCTAAGTGGGAAGACTTCAGGATGCCCGAGGAAGACTTCAGGATGCCCGAGGAAGACTTCAGGATGCCCGAGGATGACTTCAGAAGGCCTGAGGAGGACTTCAGGATTCCCCTAGACGGAACGAATGTCGACGACATGATGTATATCTCTGACGAGGACCTGATGACCCCACTGGAGAAGGGAGGAGCCGAGGGCGCCGCCCCAGAGTAGATGACCCTCCTCTCGTCCTACAGGAACAAGTACATGTAGTGATTATACAGTGTTATGTATATTCAAGCAGGTTAAACCACAGTGTTATGTATATACAAGCAGGTTAAACCAGTGTTATGTATATACAAGCAGGTTAAACCACAGTGTTATGTGCATACAAGCAGGTTAAACCACAGTGTTATGTACATACAAGTAGGTTAAACCAGTGTTATTTATATACAAGCAGGTTAAACCACACTGTTATGTATACAGTAACAGGTTAAACCACTGTTATGCATACAGAAGCAGGTTAAACCACAGTGTTATGTATTCACAAGCAGGCTAAACCACAGTGTTATTTATTCACAAGCAGGTTAAACCAGTGTTATGTATACACATGCAGTTAATCCACAGTGCTATGTATACACAAGCAGGTTAAACCACAGTGTTATGTACATACAAGAAGGATATACCACAGTGTTATGCATTCACAAGCAGGCTAAACCAGAGTGTTATGTATACACAAACAGTTAAACCACAGTGTTATGTATATACAAGCAGTTAAACCACAGTGTTATGTATACACAAGCAGGTTTAAACCACAGTGTTATGTATACACAAACAGTTAAACCACAGTGTTATGTATATACAAGCAGTTAAACCACAGTATTATGTATACACAAGCAGGTTAAACCACAGTGTTATGTATACACAAACAGTTAAACCACAGTGTTATGTATATACAAGCAGTTAAACCACAGTATTATGTATACACAAGCAGTTAAACCACAGTGTTATGTATACACAAGCAGTTAAACCACAGTGTTATGTATACACAAACAGTTAAACCACAGTGTTATGTATATACAAGCAGTTAAACCACAGTATTATGTATACACAAACAGTTAAACCACAGTGTTATGTATATACAAGCAGTTAAACCACAGTATTATGTATACACAAACAGTTAAACCACGGTATTATCTTGTATATTGGTGTATTATTCACATGTATGTGAATAATACACATTATGCATTTTTTTGTAATTCACTGTGAAGACGTTTCACCCACCACCCTGGTGAGCGAAACGTCTTCTCAGTATAATATAATGTTAGAGTGTGGCGTAGCCGACAAGTAAATTAAACAAAGACAGCAAGAGAAGACGTTTATTTACACTTTTCGCTCACTTGATCAAGTTTTAAAGATTGTTTAGCAGTACACGGTGTCATGACCCGGCAGTACACGGTGTCATGACCCGGCAGTACACGGTGTCATGACCCGGCAGTACACGGTGTCATGACCCGGCAGTACACGGTGTCATGACCCGGCAGTACACGGTATCATGACCCGGCAGTACACGGTGTCATGACCCGGCAGTACACGGTGTCATGACCCGGCAGTACACGGTGTCATGACCCGGCAGTACACGGTGTCACGACCCGGCAGTACACGGTGTCATGACCCGGCAGTACACGGTGTCATGACCCGGCAGTACACGGTGTCATGACCCGGCAGTACACGGTGTCACGACCCGGCAGTACACGGTGCCATGACCCGGCAGTACACGGTGTCACGACCCGGCAGTACACGGTGTCATGACCCGGCAGTACAGGTCTCATGACCCGGCAGTACGCGGTGTCATGACCCGGCAGTACAGGTGTCATGACCCGGCAGTACACGGTGTCATGACCAGGCAGTACAGGTCTCATGACCCGGCAGTACACGGTGTCATGACCCGGCAGTACACGGTGTCATGACCCGTCAGTACACGGTGCCATGACCCGGCAGTACACGGTGTCATGACCCGGCAGTACACGGTGTCATGACCCGGCAGTACACGGTGTCATGACCCTGCAGTACACGGTGTCATGACCCAGAAGTACACGGTGTCATGACACGGCAGTACACGGTGTCATGACCAGGCAGTACAATGTATCATGACCCGGCAGTACACTGTGTCATGACCAGGCAGTACACGGTGTCATTACCTGGCAGTACACGGTGTCGTGAACAGACAGTGTACGGTGTCATAACCAGGCAGTACACGGTGTCATGACCCAGCAGTACACGGTGTCATGACCCGGCAGTACACGGTGTCATGACCCGGCAGTACACGGTGCCATGACCAGACAGTACACGGTGTCATAACCCGGCAGTACATGGTGTCATGACCAGGCAGTACACGGTGTCATGACCCAACAGTACACGGTATCATGACCCGACAGTACACGGTGTCATGACCAGGCAGTAGACGGTGTCATGACCAGTCACTACACGGTGTCATGACCCAACAGTACACGGTATCATGACCCGACAGTACACGGTGTCATGACCAGACAGTACACGGTGTCATGACCAGGCAGTACATTGTGTCATGACCAGGCAGTACACTGTGTTATGACGAGGCAGTACACGGTGTTATGACAGGCAGTACACGGTGTCATGATCCGGCAGTACACGGTGTTATGACCAGGCAGTACACGGTGTTATGACCAGGCAGTACACGGTGTCATGACCAGGCAGTACACGGTGTTATGACCAGGCAGCACACGGTGTTATGATCAAGCAGTACACGGTGTCATGATCCGGCAGTACATGGTGTCATGATTAGTCAGTACTCGGTGTCATGACCAGTCACTACACGGTGTAATGACCCAGCAGTACACGGTGTCATGACACGGCAGTACACGGTGTCATAACCAGGCAGTACAATGTATCATGACCTGGCAGTACACGGTGTCATGACCAGGCAGTACACGATGTCATTACCTGTAGTACACGGTGTCATGACCAGGCAGTGCATGGTGTCATAACCCGGCAGTACACGGTGTCATGACCCAGCAGTACACTGTGTCATGGCCCGGCAGTACACGGAGTGACGACCCGGCAGTACACGGTGTCATGACCCGGCAGTACAAGGCGTCATGACTCGGCAGTACACGGTGTCATGTTCCCGTCAGTTCACGGTGTCATGACCCGGCAGTACAGAGTGTCATGACCCGGCAGTGAACTATCTTGAATCCCGTCTGAAAGTCAACAATTCATCACGAAATGTATAATCCCTACTGTTTTAGCGCTTTCCCGTTATTATAATTATAATATATTAATACGCACACTCACCTAAAAAGAGACTGACTCACCTTGGGGGAGGGACCGGGTGGGCCAGGTGGTGGTGATCACCACCTGAGGCTCGTCTGAAGCCCCGGCTTGCGGCGTAGCTGCGGCTACTGTACACACCGTACCTGCGGCAGGTGATAGATGGTAACACTAGGCGATGCTAGGTGACAAGAAGTGGCAGCAGGACACAGCATTATGACAGTAGGTGACGAAAGGTTAGAGAAGGCGAAAGTAGGTGACGAGATCTGACAGTAGGTGCGGAGTTCGCGTTAGAAACAGTCATTTGTTCATTAAATCAGTGTAGTGCTGCCCATGTACAGTCTAGCACTGCCCATGTACAGTCAGTGTAGTGGTGCCCATGTACAGTCAGTGCAGTACTGCCCATGTACAGTCAGTGTAGTGCTGCCAATGTACAGTCAGTGTAGTGCTGCCCATGTACAGCCAGTGTAGTGCTGCCCATGTACAGTCAGTGTAGTGCTGCCCATGTACAGTCAGTGTAGTGGTGCCCATGTACAGTCAGTGTAGTGGTGCCCATGTACAGTCAGTGTAGTACTGCCCATGTACAGTGTAGTGCTGCCCATGTACAGCCAGTGTAGTGCTGCCCATGTACAGTCAGTGTAGTGCTGCCCATGTACAGTCAGTGTAGTGGTGCCCATGTACAGTCAGTGTAGTGGTGCCCATGTACAGTCAGTGCAGTACTGCCCATGTACAGTCAGTGTAGTGCTGCCAATGTACAGTCAGTGTAGTGCTGCCCATGTACAGCCAGTGTAGTGCTGCCCATGTACAGTCAGTGTAGTGCTGCCCATGTACAGTCAGTGTAGTGGTGCCCATGTACAGTCAGTGCAGTACTGCCCATGTACAGTCAGTGCAGTACTGCCCATGTACAGTCAGTGTAGTACTGCCCATGTACAGTGTAGTGCTACCAATGTACAGTCAGTGTAGTGCTGCCCATGTACAGCCAGTGTAGTACTGCCCATGTACAGTGTAGTGCTACCAATGTACAGCCAGTGTAGTGCTCCTCATGTACAGTCAGTGTAGTACTGCCCATGTACAGTCAGTGTAGTGCTGTCCATGTACAGTCAGTGTAGTGCTGCCCATGTACAGTCAGTGTAGTGCTGCCCATGTACAGTCAGTGTAGTGCTGCCCATGTACAGTCAGTGTAGTACTGTCCATGTACAGTCAGTGTAGTGCTGCCCATGTACAGTCAGTGTAGTGCTGCCCATGTAAAGTCAGTGTAGTACTGCCCATGTACAGTCAGTGTAGTGCTGTCCATGCACAGTCAGTGTAGTGCTGCCCATGTACAGTCAGTGTAGTGCTGCCCATGTAAAGTCATTGTAGTGCTGCCCATGTACAGTCAGTGTAGTGCTGCCCATGTAAAGTCATTGTAGTGCTGCCCATGTACAGTCATTGTAGTGCTGCCCATGTACAGTCAGTGTAGTGCTGCCTATGTACAGTCAGTGTAGTGCTGCCTATGTACAGTCAGTATAGTGCTGCCTATGTACAGTCAGTGTAGTACTGCCCATGTACAGTCAGTATAGTGCTGCCTATGTACAGTCAGTATAGTGCTGCCCATGTACAGTCAGTATAGTGCTGCCTATGTACAGTCAGTATAGTGCTGCCATGTACAGCAGTATAGTGCTGCCTATGTACAGTCAGTATAGTGCTGCCCATGTACAGTCAGTATAGTACTGCCCATGTACAGTCAGTATAGTGCTGCCCATGTACAGTCAGTATAGTGCTGCCCATGTACAGTCAGTATAGTACTGCCCATGTACAGTCAGTATAGTACTGCCCATGTACAGTCAGTATAGTGCTGCCCATGTACAGTCAGTGTAGTGCTGCCCATGTACAGTCAGTGTAGTGCTGCCCATGTACAGTCAGTGTTGTGCTGCCCATGTACAGTCAGTGTTATGCTGCCCATGTACAGTCAGTATAGTACTGCCCATGTACAGTCAGTATAGTGCTGCCCATGTACAGTCAGTGTAGTGCTGCCCATGTACAGTCAGTGTAGTGCTGCCCATGTACAGTCAGTGTAGCACTGCCCATGTACAGTCAGTGTTGTGCTGCCCTTAAACAGTCAGTATAGTACTGCCCATATACAGTCAGTGTAGTGCTGCCCATGTGCAGCCAGTGTAGTGCTGCCCATGTATAGTCTGTGTATTACTGCTCACGATGAAATTAAGACACATGTGCAACATCTGGGTATCTTTATTGTAGACGTTTCGCCATCCAGTGGCTTTATCAATACAAATTCCAGGACATAACTTGAAGACAGTAGAACTATGTACAGAAAATTAGGTACTGATTACCCCATGTACAGTCAGTGTAGTACTGCCCATGTACAGTCAGTGTAGTGCTGCCCATGTACAGTCAGTGTAGTACTGCCCATGTACAGTCAGTGTAGTACTGCCCCTGTACAGTCAGTGTAGTACTGCCCATGTACAGTCAGTGTAGTACTGCCCATGTACAGTCAGTGTAGTACTGCCCATGTACAGTCACTATAGTACTGCCCATGCACAGTCAGTGTAGTGCTGCCCATGTACAGTCAGTGTAGTGCTGCCCATGTACAGTCAGTGTAGTACTGCCCATGTACAGTCAGTGTAGTACTGTCCATGTACAGTCAGTGTAGTACTGCCCATGTACAGTCACTATAGTACTGCCCATGCACAGTCAGTGTAGTGCTGCCCATGTACAGTCAGTGTAGTGCTGCCCATGTACAGTCAGTGTAGTTCTGCCCATGTACAGTCAGTGTAGTACTGCCCATGCACAGTCAGTGTAGTACTGCCCATGCACAGTCAGTGTAGTACTGCCCATGCACAGTCAGTGTAGTACTGCCCATGCACAGTCAGTGTAGTACTGCCCATGCACAGTCAGTGTAGTACTGTCCATGCACAGTCAGTGTAGTAATGCCCATGTACAGTCAGTGTAGTGCTGCCCATGTACAGTCAGTGTAGTTCTGCCCATGCACAGTCAGTGTAGTACTGCCCATGCACAGTCAGTGTAGTGCTGCCCATGTACAGTCAGTGTAGTTCTGCCCATGCACAGTCAGTGTAGTACTGCCCATGCAGAGTCAGTGTAGTGCTGTCCATGTACAGTCAGTGTAGTTCTGCCCATGCACAGTCAGTGTAGTACTGCCCATGCAGAGTCAGTGTAGTGCTGTCCATGTACAGTCAGTGTAGTGCTGCTTCCGGATGGTTCATGGGAAAAAGATTTATCTCTCCATTAAATATAACTTTTTTCCACATCCTGCAAAAAGCAATGTACATGTATATATATATTGCGCCGTCTGAGCGCCTGATTTATTGTGCATCCGCAGCTTATCCTGTGAGCAGACGAACAGGATTACAAAGGTCACAGTAGGTCATTGTCTGACCTCACTATAGTAGTTACATCATAGATCACAGAGGTCAGGCTGGGTCATTGTCAGACCTCATTGATGTAGTTACATCATTGCAGATATCACTGTTACTTCATATAATAGTTTATTCACGTGCAGCAGAGTTTTTGTTATCGAGATGCTCAAGCTTCCAGGACTACAGTAGACCACCACTGTCTTTTCCAGCCAGTCCATTCGACATCAATTCTTTATTTATAACTCTAATTTACTGGGTTTTTTAATACAGCATTTGAGGTAGTTGACCACGATAAAGAATACGATATTTGTTTGTGTTTTAATAGAGCTTTTAACAGGGAACCACACAAAAGACTATTAAAGAAAGTAGCAGCTCATGGTATTGGGGATTACATCCAGTCATGGATCAAGACATGGGTACCCAACAAGAAGCAGAGAGAGACTACGTAAATGTGGGGATATCTGAGTGGGGATCAGTCACAAGTGTCGTCCCACAAGGATCAGTTTTAGACCCATTGTTGTTCAAAACATATAATAATGACCAGGGCGAGGGAATAACAAGTTATGTGAGCAAATTCGTTGACGACACAAAAACACACAGGATAATTGATTCAGAGGAAGATGCTACTGAACTACAGGAGAATTTAGACAAGCTCACGTAGTGATCAGAAAGAGAACACTTAGAGAAGAATGACAAAATTAATCCATTGCATAAGAAATCTTACATACGATGAAAGGTTGAAATCCCTTAACGTATGTTCTCCTGTGAGAAGTAGAATAAGAGGAGACTTAATTAAAGTATGTAAGTGGAAGATGGGCATAAGGGAGGCAAAATTATGAAGATAACCCCTCAAGAAAGAACTCAAAATAATGGATTCAAAATAGATAAGTTTAGATTTAGAAAGGATATAGGAAAGAACTGGTTTGGAAACGGAGTAGTTGATGAGTGGAACAGTCTGCCTAACAGGGTTATTGAAGCTAACATCTTGGACAGCTCCAAATATAGGTTAGAGAAAAACATGAAAGAGAGGTTGGATCTGTGTGGTATTTAAACTTGAGTTAATAGTGTTACTAAAGCTTATTCCTTGGGTAGCATTGACAATGTGTTGGTTGAATATTCCTGTTAGTGGGTTTAGGTTTGAGGAGGACTTGCCAAGTATGGACCAGTAGGCCTACTGCAATGTTCCTCCTTCCTTATTTTCTTAGAGAAAGAGAGAGAAAGTTAAAATGTTCAGTTTACTCGGTTTATTGTATAGCAAACTCAATGTTTACAGAAATTTTTCTCTGTTTACATCGTTTATTTCTCTTGTTTATGTTTTCTATGTAATTGTGTATACTATATTAGAGACAGTGACTACACTGTACTAGAGACAGTGACTACACTGTACTAGAGACAGTGACTACACTGTACTAGAGACAGTGACTACACTGTACTAGAGACAGTGACTACACTGTACTAGAGACAGTGACTACACTGTACTAGAGACAGTGACTACACTGTACTAGACACAGTGACTACACTGTACTAGAGACAGTGACTACACTGTACTAGAGACAGTGACTACACTGTACTAGAGACAGTGACTACACTGTGCTAGAGATAGTGACTACACTGTACTAGACACAGTGACTACACTGTACTAGACACAGTGACTACACTGTGCTAGAGACATTGACTACAATGTTCTAGAGACAGTGACTACACTGTACTAGAGACAGTGACTACACTGTACTAGAGACAGTGACTACACTGTACTAGATACAGTGACTACACTGTACTAGAGACAGTGACTACACTGTGCTAGAGACAGTGACTACACTGTGCTAGAGGCAGTGACTACAGTGTGCTAGAGACAGTGACTTAACTGTACTAGGCGCAGTGACTACACTGTGCTAGAGACAGTGACTACACTGTACTAGAGACAGTGACTTCACTGTACTAGACGCAGTGACTACACTTTGCTAGAGACAGTGACTACACTGTACTAGACGCAGTGACTACACTGTACTAGAGACAGTGACTGCACTGTACTAGAGACAGTGACTACACTGTACTAGAGACAGTGACTACACTGTACTAGAGACAGTGACTTCACTGTACTAGACGCAGTGACTACACTGTACTAGAGACAGTGACTACACTGTACTAGAGACAGTGACTACACTGTACTAGAGACAGTGACTACACTGTACTAGAGACAGTGACTACACTGTACTAGAGACAGTGACTACACTGTACTAGAGACAGTGACTACACTGTACTAGACACAGTGACTACACTGTACTAGAGACAGTGACTACACTGTACTAGAGACAGTGACTACACTGTACTAGAGACAGTGACTACACTGTGCTAGAGACAGTGACTACACTGTACTAGACACAGTGACTACACTGTACTAGACACAGTGACTACACTGTGCTAGAGACATTGACTACAATGTTCTAGAGACAGTGACTACACTGTACTAGAGACAGTGACTACACTGTACTAGAGACAGTGACTACACTGTACTAGATACAGTGACTACACTGTACTAGAGACAGTGACTACACTGTGCTAGAGACAGTGACTACACTGTGCTAGAGGCAGTGACTACAGTGTGCTAGAGACAGTGACTTAACTGTACTAGGCGCAGTGACTACACTGTGCTGAGACAGTGACTACACTGTACTAGAGACAGTGACTTCACTGTACTAGACGCAGTGACTACACTTTGCTAGAGACAGTGACTACACTGTACTAGACGCAGTGACTACACTGTACTAGAGACAGTGACTGCACTGTACTAGAGACAGTGACTACACTGTACTAGAGACAGTGACTACACTGTACTAGAGACAGTGACTTCACTGTACTAGACGCAGTGACTACACTGTGCTAGAGACAGTGACTACACTGTACTAGACGCAGTGACTACACTGTACTAGAGACAGTGACTACACTGTACTAGAGACAGAAACTACACTGTACTAGAAACAGTGACTACACTGTACTAGACGCAGTGACTACACTGTACTAGAGACAGTGACTACACTGTACTAGAGACAGTGACTACACTGTACTAGAGACATTGACTACACTGTACTAGAGACAGTGACTACACTGTACTAGAGACAGTAACTACACTGTACTAGACGCAGTGACTACACTGTACTAGAGACAATGACTACACTGTACTAGAGACAGTGACTACACTGTACTAGAGACAGTGACTACACTGTACTAGACGCAGTGACTACACTGTACTAGAGACAGTGACTACACTGTACTAGAGACAGTGACTACACTGTACTAGAGACAGTGACTACACTGTACTAGAGACAGTGACTACACTGTACTAGAGACAGTGACTACACTGTGCTAGAGACAGTGACTACACTGTACTAGAGACAGTGACTACACTGTACTAGAGACAGTGACTACACTGTGCTAGAGACAGTGACTACACTGTACTAGAGACAGTGACTACACTGTACTAGAGACAGTGACTACACTGTACTAGAGACAGTGACTACACTGTACTAGAGACAGTGACTACAATGTACTAGAGACAGTGACTACACTGTACTAGAGACAGTGACTACACTGTGCTAGAGACAGTGACTACACTGTACTAGAGACAGTGACTACACTGTACTAGAGACAGTGACTAATACAGTACTAGAGGCAGCGCCAGTCAAAATATGTCCCCAAGGACACATGGACACAGGGGTCATCCCACATACACTAAAAACAACAGACATAGCTGCGCTCCACAAAGGTGGCAGTAAAGAAATTGCTAAGAACTACAGACAGATATCACTAATATCCCATATCATAAAAATCTTTGAGAGGGTTCTAAGAAGCAAGATAGTCAACCACCTAGATACCCATCAATTACACAGCCCAGGGCAACACGGGTTTAGAGCAGGTCGCTCCTGTCTGTCCCAGCTACTGGACCACTATGACAAGGTCCTGGATGCTGTAGAGGATAAACAAAATGCAGATGTAGTATACACAGACTTTGCAAACGCTTTCGACAAGCGTGACCATTGTGTAATAGCACACAAAATGTGTGGTAAAGTTGGTAGATGGATCTACAACTTCCTGATAAATAGAACACAAAGAGTAATAGTAAACAGAGTAAAGTCCCAGGCAGCCACGGTAAAAAGCTCTGTTCCACAAGGCACAGTACTCGCTCCCATTCTATTCCTCATCTTAATTTCTGACATAGACAGAGATGTTAGCCATAGCTCCGTATCTTCCTTTGCGGATGACACCCGGATCACCATGGCAGTGACCTCCATCGAAGACACTGCGAGACTCCAAGTGGACATCAACCAAATCTTCGAATGGGCCACTCAGAACAATGTGAAGTTCAACGAGGAGAAATTTCAACTACTCAGATATGGAAAACTTGAAGAAATTAAAAATGTGTCAGGGTATACCACAAATTCTAACCATACAATAGAGCTGAAAAGTAATGTGAAGGACCTGGGAGTGATAATGTCAGAGGATCTCACCTTCAAAGACCACAACAATGCATCTACCTCATCTGCTAGGAAAATGATAGGATGGATAATGAGAACCTTCAAAATGACTCAAGAAATCGTAATTACACGATTGCAAACAAACCATACCCCCGGCCGGGATGGAACCCGCTGGTCTAGTGGCTAATGCGACGGGCTGGAGTTTTGAGACTCTGTGACCGCGGGTTCAATCCCGGCCGGGGGTATGGTTTAGAACCTTCAAAACTAGGGACGCCAAGCCCATGATGATTCTCTTCAAATCGGTTGTGCTCTCTAGGCTGGAATACTGCTGTACACTAACGGCCCCCTTCAAGGCTGGCGACATTGCAGACCTGGAGGGTGTACAAAGAACTTTCACGGCACACGTAAGTGCGATAAGGCTCCTAAACTAATGGGAACGGTTGAAGGTCCTTGATCTCTATTCCCTCGAACGCAGGCGAGAGAGATACATGATAATATACAGTTGGAAGGTCCTGGAGGGATTGGTACCAAACCTGCACACGAAAATCACTCCATATGAAAACAAAAGACTTGGCAGGAGATGCAACATTCCCCCGATGAAAAGAAGGGGCGCCACGAGTACACTGATAGACAACACAATAAGTGTCCGGGGCCCAAGACTGTTCAATTGCCTCCCAACATACATAAGGGGGATTACCAATAGACCCCTTGCTGTCTTCAAGAAGCACTGGACAGGCACCTAAAGTCAGTACCTGACCAACCGGGCTGTGGTTCGTACGTCACCTTGCGTGCGGCAAGCAGTAACAGCCTGGTTGATCAGACCCTGATCCACTATGAGGTCTGGTCTCAGACCGGGCCGCGGGGGCGTTGACCCCCGAAACCCTCTCCAGGTAAACTCGAGGTAAGGTAGTCAAGTGTTAGTAGTCTACTGGACACAGCCAATCAGAATGTGTCGTGAATATTTACATAAACAGAAACACTTAGCGTCCGCACCAACATAACTTACACGTTGTAAAGTTACAAGAGGGAGAGATAAGGAAGTGTAGAATATTCCCAGTGCCAGATGTACAAGTAGGAGTGCCAGGGGTACAAGCAGGAGTACCAGGGGTACAAGCAGGAGTGCCAGAGGAACAAGCAGGAGTGCCAGATGAACAAGCAGGAATGCCAGGGGTACAAGCAGGAGTGCTAGGGGTACAAGCAGGAGTGCCAGATGAACAAGCAGGAATGCCAGGGGTACAAGCAGGAGTGCCAGGTTAAACAAGCAGAAGTGTCATCAATAATCACTGCCAAAATCACCACAAATAACCACCAGCACCATCACGACTACCATCACAACCACCACCACCACCACCACCACCACCACCACCACCACCACCACCACCACCACCACCACCACCACCACCACCAACCACCACCACCACCACCACCACCACCACCACCACCACCACCACCACAGTCAGTTAATAAGAGCACTCTTGCTCCTCCTCCCTCACTCAACCAGCCTCCTCACAGATGGTACTAGATACAGCCTCTTCATCACCAGACCCCAGGCGTATAACAGGCGCTACCAATAACCAATTATACCAGAAATCGAACTCAATTATATATATAAAAAAACAAATATATATATATATATATATATATATTATATATATATATATATATATATATATATATATATATATATATATATATAATATATATATATTATCACTCACTTGGTGGAATCGTCCATCAGTGTTCCATCTCCACTGTTCCTGCTGCTGTCATCACTACCTTCGCTCCCTCCGCTCTCCCTCCTTCCTCCTCCACCCAGGACGCCCACAGGGTGGAAGCCCACGGACGTAGAGGACATCCTGGTGCCAAGGGGCGTCCAAGTGACACTCAGAGACCGTGGTACCTGCC